AGTTATTTTATGGTGAGAAATCTTCAAATTTAAATCAGCTAAGATACAAATTATTCACAAAGAAAAATCTAGATAGCACAAAACTTCCCCCAACAGATGGTGCAGCCATACAAAACATTAAACGTGTTAATTACCAGTGCCACATTTGGAAGTTTGCTACGAGTCTCACACTTCAAATACCTTCACCTATTGGTAGTGGCTGGTTTGTTGATGATGAGGGTAGATTAGTAGCAAAGCTGATGTGTCAACAGCCAGCACCAGAGACTATTGTAGAACTTGTAGTTTGTAATTGTGTCAAAGGTTGTACAGGAAGGTGTAGTTGTAGACATGTTACATTGCCATGCACTGTAGCATGCAATTGTGATGGAAATTGTTCCAATGTACCGGTTTATATTGATAATGATGATATTGAGTAATTGTTTCCAAATTATATAAGTAAACTAACTAAAGTAAACTGATTGTCATTACCATTTTGCTGGAAACTACCTGCATTATTTTATTTAAATGTGCACAGATTTGTTATTGTAAGAATAGCTGTTGTCATTTGCATTTTGCATTATATTTGAGACTCAGTATAATTATGCAAATATTCTGCAAATTATAGTGTTACTAAAAAGGTTAGCGAAGTAATTAAGAATTCACATAAGATTTTACATGGTATTTTAATGTCAAATAGAGATAGTTTTTTGCTTAAATATATTGTTATTCTCCGATTTTCCAAATCACCCCATTTAAACACATGTAAACATTTTATTTTAGAAAATACACATATTATTTGCATGCTATAATTGCAAAATTGCGTCTAAAAAAAGCAAATGTTTTCTTTAGATTTATGATTCCACTAATTAGTATAATTAGTATACAAATTCTATGCACATTTATTACCTTTATGTTATCCTTATATACGATTTTGTATTTGTACTTAATATCATAGTATAACTAAACAAGTTTCAAGTTGATATTGTAAATTTAAATATAAATACGTGAAAGAGGTAATTAAGTTTCCTTTAATTAATATACAAATTATATGCGTTTTCACGTATTGTAATTTTATCCTCTTTGATGTATTCCATGAGAATTCCATGTCTTCTTATGTTTTATGAATAACTAATTAGTATGCAAATTTTATGCATTTTGATATCCGGTAGTTTTATCTTTTTATTTGATTTTGAAGTTGTATATATAAAAGTTTATTTTGAAAAAAATTTAAGTTTAACTATATAAGTGTGTTATATTTAGACTTTAAAGAATCGGCAGAAAACTTGTGAAAACGTATATTTGTGAATACAGCCCCCTATATAATATACCCTGTTGCTACCTTATGCCCACCCTAAAAGTTTTACTGCCACCCAGGTGATACCCCCCAAGGGTAGTACTATCAGATAAAATAGTAAAACCTTTGCCAGTAGACGGGGTAAACTAACTCATTTTCTAGGCCCCTTTTGAGAATTGGCTCCCGG